TAGTGGATCGCAGCAGCGACACTTTGACCAAAATTAGGAGGCGATGGCTCATTTTCAATGACGAGTGTTTTGGAGCTATCCCCTGACGCGTTTCCCGCGTGATGTTTTCAGCCAGCTAGCCCTAGCTATCACCAGGTGCATTTCTGAAACGACTGACCCGCAGCAGCCGTCTCCACTTTCCTGCAGCCGACGTGCGTGGAGCGCGCCCGCGGCCGTCGCTTCCGAGTTCGGCTAGAAGAAAAGAAAAGCCTCGAACCGATAAATCATGGCAACGCCCTGAGACGCCTTGTCGGCGAAGCGCGTTCTGCTCCCGCAGGTGGTTCGGGCGAGATAAGCGGCACCACCACACCTGCTTGTTGCACCTTTTTTGTTTCCCTTTTCCCTTTATGGTGTAATCCGGACTTAGTGGACGCGGCCGTTCCGCGGGCCAAGATTTCGAAAAATGATGCCGCCTCTGCGATAAGCAGACCCGGAGCCCCAGTCGTGCCCGGCACACTGCTTGCTAGCAAGCTTGCACCGTCCAACAATATAAATATGTCCGGGCCTAGCCGCCAGGCCGTGGCGAGGTAGTGCCCTCCCGAAATTCCGACGGGACTTTCTCACTGTAGCAGAAACGTGGCCCTGGCGCGTGAGGTTTCACCTCCATCTACGCGTGCACTTTTCTGCTTCTAGCTTGTTCTAGCTCCTGAAAACCAGGATGTGCATTGATTTGCTGAATTATCAAAGGTCTCCCCGGTTTAACACTTTCACCACGAAGCCTTTTTGAACCAAAATACTCCAAAACCAAGGCGACACCGAGACTAAACTGAGCCTATTCGACTCGAAAATTACTCTTTTTTAACCTTCTTGTACATCCCCGCCAAATCATGCGCCCGACAAATCGATGGAGCACGCGTAGTGCACTGAATAGTGGTCCAAACGATTCAACTTTTACTATTGACGGTTGGTGGGAGTTGGGTGTGAAATCAGAGCTACTGAGTGATTTTTGAGTGGATTTAGGAGATTTACTTTATGAGTTAATCGAGCTCCTAAACTAAAGACCCTCACAGTGCGATGGCGTCGTGGGACGCAATCTTTCACTGCGACACCGCCCTGGCCTGGCTCCGCCCACTGCGGGCGTCGCTCTGTGAGTGGCAAGGAGTGGCAGGCAGCCTGTCCTTGTCGCTGCACTTTTGAGGGCTGCCTGCACTCAGTGCCCTTGCTCCGGTCCCGGCCGATGCCCGTCGATCGTGGCGCAAGCCCAGCGACTGTATCTCCGATCGGCGTTCGGGTCCGTTCGGGTCCGTTCGAGTCGGCAGACTGCAACGCGACCCCCGCAGCAATCAAGCGATCGGACATCTGCCGACTGGCCGGCACTGGCCGGCACCCTGCACTAGAGTATCCTTGCCTCGGCCGATACACCGCTGGAACCCCCTTAGTCATTTGGGCTCACATCCCGAGACGCGTGTTTCTTCTCCGAGTTACCACCTCTCAAGTACCTTGCGAAATATAAAATATGTCATTCCCTAGAGGAGGTCATCACGAACCGGGGGATACCTCGAAAATGCCACAGATGTGCATATTATAGGAGTGGTCTATGTCTGCGTTAGTAAATTTTCGCAACTTTAACCAAATTTGTTAATTTAAAAAAGTTGCTTTCAGACTTAAATTTATTGTCACTTTATTACAAAATTCTAAACTCACTTAAATGGACAATTTTATTGTGATTTGATGACACTCCCCGACAATGTCATCGAAGGTCCTATACTCATTGCATGCGCGTGACAACAATGTCATCAACCAGTTTGATGACTTTCTTACAAGGGAAATTAGTGTTGACATTGTCATGAAGTGATCACCGACATTTGCACAGTTGTTTCGACCATTGCTGTTTGGCCTTTGCAGACCTTAGCGGTTCGAGCAAAACATTGCGGCCTCGCGCGAACTGTCGACAACCTCAGATGCATCATGGGGTTTCAGCACGGTCTTGATCAGTGTCACTCTACTGAAACGCTCAAGTGGAAATGCAGTTGCATTGGGTTCGCCACATCTGCGAAAGCACGTGGCCGAGTGCCGAAATCGCATTTCGGGGCTTTCGAAAGGGGCCGAACGCCGTAAATCCGTCGGCGCAGCCTCGCCTGCACTGAGTACACTGGTAACTTGATACAGGCGAAGACACACACATCAAGCCGATTCGAAGCCCCTTGCGAAAGTCGCGCACACGCACCCTGCCCGCGAAAACTATTGTAGGCCTTACAAAGAACAGCAGCTTGTTATAACAAAGTATTTTGAGCATACATAAGCTTACAAAGAAAATACTTCGCAATTTTCTTCGCATAACGAAGTAAATTAGTTAGTATTCTGTATGCTCAAAATACTTTCTGAGGTTTTAAGCGTGCAAGCTGCAGCCCGGATTAAGAAAGCGCGTCAGATCAGCGTCCCTGTCATTGCCATTAGTCTGGTGTTGCGCATTTCGAACGCAGCCTCACAGCGAGAATTCTGTGTCACACACTACTCACGCACGCACACTGACACACACTACTCGAATGCAGTCATGTGCGCCATTGTTGTGCACAAGTGCAAGGCCAGGAGGAGGGGGAGGGGCCGCAGAGGAAAGTGTTACTCTCGGCTTCGTTTCATTTCAATAATAATAAAGCTCATTGTGACGTTGCGGCGCGTCGCGTGTCGCCCGTTATTGTCTTCGCGTCGCTTTCAGACTGCGAGTTTAGGAATGCACCGCGCTGGAGGGGGAAGCGGCAAATTTGAAATCGTGTTGTTTTTTGTTGCTTTGTTTCTGTTTCTTCATGGGATTGTAGAAAGCGGGAGAGAGAGGGAGAGAGAGAGAGAGAGAGAGAGAGAGAGAGAGAGAGAGAGAGAGAGAGAGAGAGAGACGATGGAAACTAGGCACGTCGGGCTAAGGTAGCTGAGATTAAAAACCGAAACAAAACCTACTTCACTCTTAAAACCTTACGAAGTATTTTGGGCATACATGTAACAAAGAAACAAAGTATTTTCTTTGCAAGCTATGCTCAAAATACTTTCTTATAACAAACTATTTTTCTTTGTAATGCCCAAAATAGTTTGTAAGGTTTTCTCAGTGTTTTAAATTTGCTGTGGATACCGATGCTGCCTTTCATGCTAAGTGTGTGCAACCCTGTGTGTGCAACCATGTGTGTGCGATTTGTGGCCCCACTGATGCACGTGAGGGTGTCTTTGGCGAGCCTCTAGCGTGCGGGTGGTGGCGAAACGTGTCTAGGCCGTACTGCCATGGACACCTTCGCAAGCGGGTCAAGTTTTCGCCCTTATCTCGATGGGTCTCACTGCACTATCGGCAGACGAGGAATGCGAGAGAGAGAGAGAGAGAGAGAGAGAGAGAGAGAGAGAGAGAGAGAGAGAGAGAGAGGGAGAGAGAGGGAGAGAGAGAGGGGGGAGAGGGGGACTTTGCGTGTCCCTGCACGCGCCTCCAATCTGCAGCGCGAGTGCGACGGCTTAGTTTTCTTCCTTTTTTCGTGAGTCAGCTGCTTGGTGCGCGTGGTGTCGGCCCGACTTAGCTCATGATTGCAGTGTGTCACCGACAACAACGGACTGCAGATTGCACTTATCGGCGCGGTGGATTGGGGCTGATAGCTGACCGGGACAATGGCAGCCAAATGATTTAACTCTGTCGCGTGCGTGCGGACCGTCTGATGCCGTCTGCCCGGCCTGCCAGGCCCGCCACCTTCGCCGCACCGCGTGACCTGCACAACGGTGTGCACTGCGAGCCAAATCAATATCACATGTGTGGCAATGCGGCGGCGCGCGGTTTGTTTTTTCGCTACCCTTTTGTCGGCGCCCTGCGTGAATTTCTCCGTGCCTATATTCTTCCATGTAAGGCTGCCTTGAATTTTCAAGCCCTGCCGCTCTCGCAGGCACGCACTGCGCAGAAAGGCGCGCGCTGAGTTCGTGCTGGGGCGCGGGGCGGGTGGCGTCCATATAGATCGCACGCACTGCACTGTGCGTCGGTGTGTGCACGTTTCTTTCGGCTGCCCGGCATGGAGTGCCTCATGGAGCGCCTCATTGAGAACCTCATGGAGTAGCTCATAGAGTATCTTATGAAGTACCTCATGGAGAGCTTCATGGAGTGCCTCTTGGAGTGCTTCAAAGAGTACTTTATGGAGTGCCTTTACATGGAGTGCCTCTACCTCATGGAGTGCCTCTACCTCATGGTGTACCTCTACCTCATGGAGTGCCACCGTGGAGTGCCTCCACCTCATGGAGTGCCTCCGTTGAGTGCACTCCACGGAGTGCCTCTACTTCATAGAGTGTCTCTATGGAGTGATGTACCTCATGGAGTGTCTACCTCATGGATCTCATGGAGTGTATGTACATCATGGAGTGTCTGTACCTCATGGACCTCATGGAGTGTATATACCTCATGGAGTGTCTGTACCTCATGGACCTCATGGAGTGTCTCTATCTCATGGACCTCATGGAGTACCACATGGAGTGCCGGGTACGTGATGAAATGCCGAATATATGATTTAGTTCCTCATGGAGTACCTCATAGAGCACCTCATGGAGTACCTTAGAAAGTCTCTGATGTAGTGCCGCTTGGAGTGCCTCATGAAGTACCTCATGAAGTCCCTTATAGAGTACCTCATGGAGTGCCTCTTTGGAGTGCCATTTGGAGTACCTTATGGAGTGGCTTCTGGACGCCGTGGAGCCCGCCGGCCCGACCAGGCACGCCTCGGTAGCGGCCGCGGTGTTTCACTTGCGGTCACTACCCGGCACCACGTCCGAGCCGAGCCCCGAGCAGAGCGCGGCCGGGCCGACCGAGCCCAGCCGTACAGGGAGGGAGCCGAGCCGGGCGCGCTTTCCCGAACGCATCAGCTAGCTGCAGCTGGGAAAGTGTTGGCGTCTGCCCTTTCGTAATTAGTTTGAGTTGATCGTCAGGCGCCACGGTGCAAACGTCAGGCGTCGCGTTGCCTCACACGCCGTCCTTTGAATGTGGAGATGTTGATGTTGTTGTTTGTTTCTTGCAGGCAAGCCCACGGAGCTGGTGCCCACCCTCCTCGGCATGTACGACGCCCTGGTGGGCCGATCGGAGGACGCCGTCGACGCGGACGCCACGGCCGGCCTGCCCGTCGGCAGCGCCGCGCACCACCCCCGCACGCCCACCACTAGCCCCACGTCGGCCTGCCCGCCCCCCGGGGGCGGCTCTGGACCCGGGGGAGGGGGCAGACTGGATCTGGACGAGGAGACGGTGCTCGGGGTGCCCCGGCCATTGTCCGTGACGTCCATCGCCTCTTCGTCGTCGTCCTCTTCGGGTAAGGGAGGCTTCCAAAGCCAATTAAGCGACCAACCCCTTAGTGGTCCAGAGGACTGGTACAGGCGACCGAAATCCCGGACGCGTTTTGAGCTCCAGAGTCGCTAAATGGGACTCGAACCGAGCGCGTGACCCCACTAATCGATTGTTCTTCGAACGAGGAATCCATTGGTGGGGTCACACGTCCTATTCGAGCCCTGTTCAGCGACTCTGGAGCTCAAAACGCGTCAAGAGCTTTGGTCATAGGCGTCGGTCTTCTGCCCCACTGCGCAGCCGTACCCCGGCAAAACAATCACTTCACCCTCAAAATGTCTTTCAGTGAATTTTACTTGAGTGTACAGGATGTAAAGTCAAACGTGTACCAGGCGAGGGGGTTGGATTGATATACTCGACTCTGCGGGCGCACCTTGCATACAGCTTTGCTGTATAGTGGAATATGTGCGACCACGAACTAGGAAGAGCTTAAGCGGCAGAGCCATTGAGAAAAGTCCTTTACGTTACGCCTTTAGTTTTACTCGTACAGTTGTTCGCCGTCGTCACACATTTCAATCAATTCAACTTCCTCGTGAACACGGACTCCTTGGGCGACTTGCCGTAGTTTACACGACCGACAGTTCGTGCCAGGTGGTTGGCAGACAGACGGACAGGGACACAGATATGCACCCAGGCTCCGGCTAGGAACGAGAAGACAATTGTTTCCGCACACATCCATCCCGCTTGACGCGTGTGAGTGTGAGCAGCCCCGTTGCGTTCCGCGGCGTTCCGCTGCGCCACCTTGACCTACGTCGGAATGGGCACGGCCCCGTCCTTCTATTTGTCTTTCTCCGCGGTGCATTTTTCGCGCCGCGACACACTGTGACACACGCGTGGCGACGCGGCCGAAGTGACACGCCAGGACGGATAAGTCACGCGCGTGACGCGGCACAGTGGGCCAGAAGACCGGTGGAGGCGGACAACACTCTAGACGCGTTTTGAGCTCCAGAGCCGCTAAACAGGCCTAAACAGGCCGGTCTTCTGGCCCACTGTGCGCGGTGACGGACAGACTGCAGACTGATTCCGAGAGTCGTTTTCGCCGCTCCGTCCCTCTCGCACTCGGGGCGCCCCGTATAGGTGCGAGAGAGACAGAGCGACGAAGACGACTCTCGGAATCAGTCTGCTGGAGGACAGGCGGCATTTCTCGGCGTGACTGCCGGCTGACCCCGCGTGCCGCCAACGAGACCGTCACCGCGGACGCAGCCAGGGCGCCGCCAGTATCGTCGCTCTGTCTCTCTCGCACCCATTCGGAACGCCACATGACAGCCAGAGCCAGAGAGAGAGAGAGAGAGAGAGAGAGAGAGAGAGAGAGAGAGAGAGAGAGAGAGAGGGAGGGGGAGAGAGAGAGGGAGAGTGCTGTTCGGAAAGCCCTCCGCGATCACGGTGTCTCTCCGTCTCTCCCTGGACGACTCGCGCAGCGCGGTTCTTTTGAAATTCAAATGAGGCGGGCGATGGCGCCGAAGGTGTAGGCACACTGTGCGGGTGGCGAGGCCCGCCGAGTTATGGCCGCTCTAAATTTCGCCTTGACAAATTCCGGAGCGTACCGTAACCGCAGTGCCCCACGACTCGCAGTGCACACACGCTGCACGACCTGTTGACTGGTTCCGAGAGTCGTTTTCGTCGCTCTGTCTCTCTCTCACACCTTTAGGGGCGCCCTCTTGAGTGCGAGAGAGACAGAGCGACTCTCAGTGTGCAGGTCCATGTGGGAGCGCGCGGCCGACGGGCGGACCGTTACAGGCGTCACTTTGTTGCACGGCGCGCCGCGGCGGGTCAGTGAAGTTCAAGGAGGGATGACATGACGCTTGCCTTTTACGCCGACCGAGTGTTTGAACCCGACGCGTGGGCCGGTCGGGGCACAGGCTGGGTCTGATAGATAGTGTTCCATGGGCGCGTTCTCCAATTCCACCAACAGGGGTAACTTTGGACATGGGGGTAACTTTCGACGGGTAACTTCAGACACCGGGGGTAACATTGGAGACCGGGGGTAGTAACTTCGGACACCGGGGGTATCTTTGGTGGACACCGGGGGTAACTTTGGGCACCGGGGGTAACTTTGGATACCCGGGGGTAACTTTAAACGCTGGGGGTAACATTGGACGCTGGGGGTAACTTTGGACAACAGGGGTAACTTTGGACACCGGGGGTATCTTTGGACACCGGGGGTAAACTTTGGACACCGGGGGTAAACTTTGGACACCGGGGGGTAAACTTTGGACACGGGGGGTAAACTTTGGACACCGGGGGTAACTTAGTGCGGCCTGCATGGGAATCTAAGTACGGTGGGCACGGCGAAAATGGTTCCTGGTTTTTCCAGCCTATAGTAAAGGCCTAAGTAATTTCCGAGGAGTTTCCGGGGTGTTTCCGGGAAAACCAGGAACCGTTTTTGCCGTGGGTGCTCCAAGGCTTCGCGGCTCTTCGAGGCTTCCCCCACTCCAACGCACTGCCGCCAACCTTTGTTTTTTTTTTTCCCTCCCCTGCGACGCCTTTGCCTTTCCTTTCGCCGAGGAAAGCCCTTTCACCGATATGTGATGGATGGCGGCGCCATGGCGGCCTGCGCGAGCATTACTCACACCTCGCGCGGCCCGCGGCCTGGTGGACTCGCTGCCCGGCGGCATTGTCGGCCTGCCTCGCGCGTGGAAGTTCCCGCCGAACTTCGGCGTCGCCAGCCGCGCATGTCGGCGATCCCTCTATCTCTCTCCTTGCCGTGCTCCGGCGATAACACCCCGTCTCCTTGTTGCAGGCACCAGCAGCTGCGGCCGGCAGCTCGGCGTGGCCCCCAAGTCGTCGGCCTACCTCGCCTCCATCGAGTCCCTGGACGACACGGACGACGAGGAGGGCCTCGGCAAGAGCGCCAGCAACAGCTCGCAAGGTGAGCAGCGTCAGGGTGCACGAGGCCACAGTGGACCAGAAGACCGGTGGAGTCGGACAGATTCACGGACGCGTTTTGAGCTCCAGAGTCGCTAAATGGGACTCGAACCGAGCGCGTGACCCCACCAGAAGATTGCTCTCCGAACGAGGAATTCATTGGTGGGGTCACACGTTCGGTTCGAGCCCTGTTCAGCTACTCTGGCGCTCAGAACGCGTCTAGAGTTTCAGCCGCCGGGCTACTCAGAGGTTTAAGTGTTGATTGCCTTCCTTTCAGGCGGCTATTGAGAGGTTTCGGGAGGGAGGGCATAGTAGCACTTTGTGCCTACCTTTCAGGGGTCTGGAGGAGGCAGTTGACACACACACACTCACTCACTCACTCACTCACTCACTTGCACATACGCACGCTGGATCCGCGCTTGGGCGGCGGCGCCATCAGGATGTCATTGGTCCCCGGCCACACCGACTGCTGATTGCGAGCGGCCTGTCTCTCTCGTACTCTATCAGCTGTCCCATATACGTGCGAGAGAGAGAGAGAGAGAGAGAGAGAGAGAGAGAGAGAGAGAGAGAGAGAGAGAGAGAGAGAGAGAGAGAGGAGGCGACCCGTCCGCAACGCCAAAACAAACAGCAAAGGGAGCAGCGCGCTGCGCGTGACACGGCTTGACGCGGCCCGTGCCGCAGGGCTGTGTGTGGCACACTGTGTGGCACACTGTGTGGCACACTGTGTGGCCCTCGGTGGGCCGATTGTCCGATTCCGAAGCGGTCGCTGTCTCTCTCGCACCCAAACGGATCGCCCCGTGAGTGCGAGAGAGACGGCGCACGCTGTTCGGCAGCAGCCTGCTGCCACGCTCGGACACCGTGGCCCTCATTAGCGACCGCATGACAGTAGGCTGATGCAGAGAGTCCGAGAGTCCGCTCTGTCTCTCTCGCACGTATACGGGGCGCCGCACGAGTGCGAGAGAGACAGAGCGACGAAAACCACTCTCGGAATCAGTCTGCAGGGCCCGGGCACAGCGAAACCCTTTCTCAATCCAGCCCACCTGCTACTCCCTTGAGCAAGGACCCGCCCCGCCCCGCCCGGACGTCGACCCGGCTAACTGACGGCAGGACTGCAGGCGCTTATCTGTTATCGGCGGAGTCCCCTGACGGGTCCTTGGCGCCGCGTCGCGTCGCGCCGCGTCCCCTTGGCCCGGTTTGTTCGGCTTGTTCCGGGCGGACCTGGCGGTCCACAGTGGGCCAGAAGACCGCTGGAGGCGGTCAAAACTCCAGACGCGTTTTGAGCTCCAGAGTCGCTAAACAGGCCTCGAACCGAACGTGTGATCCCACCGCTGGATTCCTCATTCGGAGAGCAATTCATTGGTGGGGTCACACGTTCAGTTCGAGTCCTATTTAGCGACTCCGGCGCTCAAAACGCGTCTAGAGTTTCGTCCGCCTCCACCGGTCTTCTGGCCCACTGCGAGGTCCTGGCGGTCCAAGGCCGAAACTGCATCCGGCTGCACAACAAGTGCCGAGCTGCATTCCTTTCCGGATCCGGAAACCCGACGCCCGATACGCGGCTGCCTTCTGACACAAAGTGAAATTAAAATTTTTCAAGCGTTGTCGTCTCCAACAACAACTTTGTTTTCGAGGGCCGCGGCCGCGGGGTCCCCCATTCCCCTTCTCTTTTCGAGGGCGGCCGGCCCAGTGGCCCGGCCCTTGCAGGCGCCGAACTTCAATCATAACCACAAGACAGACTGTAGACTGATTCCAAGAGTCGTTCCCACACTGAGAAAACCTTACAAACTATTTTGGGCCTTACAAAGAAAAGTAGTTTGTATAACAAAGTATTTTGAGCATACATAAGCTTACAAAGTAAATACTTCGTAATTTACGAACTATTTCTTCGTATAACAAAGTATTTTAGTTTGTTATATGTATGCTCATAATACTTCGTAAGGTTTTAAGAGTGATCGTTCTGCCTCTCTCGCCCCAACACGGGACGCCCCATGAGTGCGAGAGAGGCAGAGCGGCGAGAACGACTCTCGGAGTCAGTTTGCTGGGCGAGCCTGGCCGAGCCGGGCGTCAGATTTGGGTCCAGTGGACTAGTGACGCGACCAAGGGGGGCTGACTCCTATAATACTTCGTACACAGCCCTATAATACTTGTATAATACCTATAATACTATAATCCATAATACCAAAAAATGCCGCACGTTTAGTGCAGTTCCGGTTTTAAAATGAGAAAATTTTGTAAAATTGTGGTGAATAAGCGTTCAGCGATTCCCAGACGAAACGTTCAAGTAGGAAAATGGCGCTAAGACTGATGACTAGGTGCTGAGGCTCTTAAAGATGCGCGGTAGTATTTTGAGTCTCAGAGCGCAAGCCGGAATCCGTGATTTCAACTAACTTCCGTATTTTGTAAACCCTTGGTACACGAAAAAACACTTAAAACGACACAATTATTATCCAAATATAATATTCGGAATAATACCTATAATACTCTATAATGCCTATAATATATAATACTTCGTACACGGTTCGGGAGAGTCAGCCCCCTTGAGTTTTAAGGACCGCGCACGCCGGACGTGGTCGTTTCACACCCACAGAGCCGAGGCGCGCGCTGCGTGCGCTGTGCCGGCTGTGCCTGCCTTCATAGCCGCGGGCCGATTCCGCCCTACTCTCCGTGGTGTGTGTGTGTGTGTGTGTGTGTGTGTGTGTGTGTGTGTGTGTGTGTGTGTGTGTGTGTGTGTGTGTGTGTGTGGTGCGCACGCTTGCGTGGAAGAGTGTGTGCGGGTGGCGGGCTGAGGTTAGGAAAGGGGGAGGGAGGGAGTGGATTACAGGTGGAACTTTCTTTCCGATGCACTTGTGATGTGAGCGCTGGGCTGTGCGGCTGGCTATGTGCGCCTGCAGACGGATTCCGAGAGTCGTTTTCGTCGCCCTGTCTCTCAGCACGGGGCGCCGCAAGAGTGCGCGAGAGGGACAGAGCGACGAATACGACTCTCGGAATGAGTCTGCTGGCGGTTCGGCCTGGAGAGTGGCTCGGTGGCCGTCGGTTCCGCACGGTTCGTCCTTCCTTCCTTCCTCCCCGCCCCTTCGGCCGCCCCGGCCGTCCAGCGCGCCAGCGGTGTCGGCGCTCGGTCCGCCGTGTCCAAGATGCTGCGTCACTTGTGTTATGTTTGATTGAATCACACTCACGCGAGCCACGCAACGCGGCAAGGCGCGGCGCTGGCGGCGACGCAAGCCGCCCGTCACGTACGCGTTATTCAAATTGAATTCCCCGCGCACCCTGTGGGCCCTGTGGGCCCTGTACGCCCTGCCAAAGGCCCCAAGCCTTGTCCACCGCGCCGCCACCGCCAGGGCGGTCTCCGCGTCGCACGAGCCGCCCGCGCTGTGTCGACATTGTCTGGAGTGCGCTGCGACTTCTTGTGCTCGCTACGCTAGCCCTCCTTCTTCGTGAAGGGGTGCAGGTCCCTATCCTTTCCTGCTCGAGACGTCGAGAGAGAGAGAGAGAGAGAGAGGGAGAGACAGACAGACAGACAGACAGACAGACAGACAGAGGAGTAGAGTGAGTGAGTGAGTGAGTGAGTGAGTGAGTGAGTGAGTGAGTGAGTGAGTGAGTGAGTGAGTGAGTGAGTGATAGAGGGACTATCTAAACGGAAACAATCTCTCTTTCTCTTACTCATACACACACACTCATTTAATCACTCACTCTCTCACTCACTCACTCACTCACTCACTCACTCACTCACTCACTCACTCACTCACTCACTCACTCACTCACTCACTCACCCACCCACTCACTCACCCACTCACTCACCCACTCATTTACCCACCCACCCACTCACTCACTCACTCAATCACACACGCACACACACACATACACAACACGGTAAAACAGTTCCTGGTTTACACAGAAGCTCCCTGAAAATCAGCAATGTTTTACTATTGGATACCTGGGAAAACCGACTATCAACCCCCATTGAAAAACTGGAAAACTCGTGGAAAATGTGTCTGAGAAATATGTGGGAAGCCGGACGCCCGACGCCGCGGTGGCTTTCCACTCCACTCTAGAGCCTGCTCTTTAGGCCCCGCGCGCGTTTCCGGCTCGAGGTCCGCGAGTGCCCCGTGCAGTGGCGTGCGCAGGGGGGGGGGGGGGGGGGGGGTCAGGGGGGTCATGACCCCCCCCCTTTGGCCACTAGACAGCCGCCTGAAAGGTAGGCAAATTGCGTCACTTTCCCCCTGTAAGTAGGCAAAAAGCATGGCCTGACCCCCCTTCCTTTCTAAATTTCTGCGCACGCCACTGGCCCCGTGGAGGCTGTCCTCCTTGTCCTCTTGGATCGGCCCGCAGTCCCGCGGTGGCGTGACGCTGGCGTCCCCGTGCTAAACGCAGCCAGTCTTGACCGCTCCGCGCGGCCCAGGTCGGCCTCGGCACTCGAAACACTTGGTGGCTCAGCCGAGGGCTCAGCGCGGGGAGCAGAGTCTCACAGCTTTTGCCTTCATAAGGTGAAAAAGTGTTGCGTTTTGCCGACCTTTCAGGCGGCTTCCAAGGAATCCTTGAGTGGAGGATCTAGGAACTGATGAGCGTTGAGCATGCAGTAAAGGTGCTTAAGGATAAGAGTCATTTATAAGAGTGTCAAACGTTAGTTTGTAGGCGTGTTCTTGCGCGTTTGCACTTAGAAGTATGCTCCGGAAACTCACGAAACAAAACAATAAATTTTAACAGATTCTAAAATTTCTTCGCGTTGTTGTTGTTGCAGGTTCCGCCGGGTCCGGTTCCGGCGACAGCGGCGTCTGCTCGCCCTGCTCGCCCTGCTCGCACCTGGCGCCGCCGCTGCTGCAGCAGGGGCAGAGCTACCGCCACCCGCATCCCCACCTCAGCTTCATGGACCGCGTCGTCATGGAGATCATCGAGACGGAGGGGGTGTACGTGCGGGACTTGCAGCAGATCATCATGGTGAGTTGCGAGAGAGAGAGAGAGGGGGGGGGGAGAGAGAGAAGAGAGAAAGAGAAGAGAGAGAAGAGAAGAGAGAGAAGAGAGAGAAGAGAGAGAGATATGGAAAGAGGGGTTAGGTTAGGTTAGCGGCAGTGTGAACACACACGCGGCTTTGGGTGCCCTTTTGGAAGTGGACGCAGGTCGGTAACATGCAACGGGAAGTCTGGCTGGGGCGAGCGCTTCGCCGCCGGTTCGCCGCCACGCCGCCGCGCTGCAGCCGACCCGCACGACGCGGCCGGCCGGATCACTTTTTATTATCGTCACGCGGATGGCTCGCGGTGTCGCCGATCCGGCTCGGCACTCCGTGGCACGCCGTGGCGTTCGATCATCGCGGCCACAATCCGATGCAGTTCCTGTCGGCCCTTTTCGGACGACCTCCGCCTCCCTTCCTTGTCATGCACAGGCGCCGCGGACCCCGCCACGCCACGCCGCACCCCGCCACGCCCCGCCACGCCACACCCCGCCACGCCCCGCCGCACCACGCCCCGCCCCGCCACGCCCCGCCACGCCACACCCCGCCACGCCCCGCCGCACCACGCCCCGCCCCGCCACGCCACACCCTGCCACGCCCCGCCGCACCACGCCCCGCCCCGCCACGCCCCGCCACGCCCCGCCCCGCCACGCCACACCACACCCCGCCACGCCCCGCCGCACCACGCCCCGCCGCACCACGCCACGCCCCGCCACACCCCGCCCCGCCACGCCCCGCCCCGCCACGCCACACCACACCCCACCACACCACGCCACGCCCCGCCACGCCTTGCGTCGCGCCGCCGGCGGTCGGCGACATCTACGAGGCCGTGTCCCGGTGTCCACCGCGCTGGCGGTGCCGGCGGTGCCGGCGGTGCTGGCGCCGGCCTAGGGGGCCCCACTGCGCTGGCGTCGCTCTCTCCGCGCCGTCGCCGTGGCGCCCTCCTTGTTGTCCTTGTTGTCGGCGACCATTAGCGACGAGGAAGCGGGACTGGAACACACGGGGCGACGCCGCGGACGCCGCGGACGCCGTGGCGGTGCGGCCCGCGCCCGGCGCTGTAAGGGCCGCGAAGGGGGAAGCCCAGCGTGCGGAGCCTAATCGCCGCAAATCGGACGCCCAGGACAAAGGGCCGGCGCCGTCGTCCCTCTCGCCCCCCGCGGCACCGCGCGGCACGCACCGCGAGTGCGAGCGAGACGGAAGGGCATTGTTTCTGAATCAGCAGGGCAGCTGTCTGCCTGCCTGCCTGGCCGGCTGGCGCTGCCCCTGCGGCCGCGGCCAGCCCGTCCCGTCCAGCCTGGTCCCGCCAGCTCGGTCTGCGCGGCGCTAAGGCGAGATGGATGCGATACCGACCAGTACCTGTTGTAGCACCCCCTTACAAAGAAACCCTGTTATGCCGCGCCGCGTTTATATGCGTCCGTGTGTGTGTGTGTGTGTGTGTGTGTGTGTGTGTGTGTGTGTGTGTGTGTGTGTGTGTGTGTGTGTGTGTGTGGAATTGGCCAACTCGTCACACGTATGGCGCCGCGGAGCGGGTCCGTCACATCCCATCCCATCCTGTCGCCTGGCCGCGCGCCTTGCTGCACCGTTACAGTGCACTCCACTCTCTTGACGTGGCGATGCCTTGGCTCGCCTGGGCGGCCAGAGAGAGAGAGAGAGAGAGAGAGAGAGAGAGAGAGAGAGAGAGAGGAAATCGAGCTAAACCGCGTGGCTAATACGAAGGGAACCGCCCGTTGGGGGTCAAGCTCAGAGCTGCCCGCAAACGAACGCGCGTATCCCAGGTAAGTCACTCTGTTCTGGTACCACTGCCGCGACCACCCAGCGACGTGTGTCCCGTTGTCGTCCGCAGGCGCGGATCCAGGGTCGTACCGGACGTGTGACCCCACCAATGGATTGCTCTCCGAACGAGGAATCCATTGGTGGGATCACACGCTCGTTTCGAGTCCTGTTTAGCGACTCTGGAGGTCAAAACCCGTCCGGGATTTTGACGGCCACCGCCGCTCTTCTGGCCCACTGTGTGACAACTGCCCTGGTCTACGGCGCAGTTTGCGTTACGTTGTCCGCGAAATAATGGCGCTTGCTGGCTTGCCCGGGGCTGGAGGGCTGGAGCACAAATTGAGCGAGCGACACGAAGGCGGTGCGATAAGCATAAGGCGTCGCGTCACGACGCCGGCATGGCGTCCACGGCGTCCACGGCGCACAGTGGGCCAGAAGACCGGCAGAGACGGCCAAAACTCTAGACGCGTTTTTAGCGGCAGAGGCACTAAATGGGACTCGAACCGAACTTGTGACTCCACCAATGGATTGCTCGTTGAACGAGGAATCCATTGGTGGGGTCACACGTTTGATTCGAGTCCCGAAGAGCGACTCTGGAGCTGAAAACGCTTTTAGAATTTTTGGCCGCATCCGTCGGTCTCTTGACCCACTGTGCAGGAGCGGTTCCAGGGGTTGGTGCATTTTGGGCCGCAACACCCCTTCCAGGGCTCAAATAATCCTTTACGCCCCTAGAGCATAGATTTTACACCTTGAATTTACCAGTGCTACAGCTGAAGGGTGGCCAAAGGTGTGACAAGCCCTTCTCCCCTGAAAAACAATCCCAAAGCCGCCCCTGCCTCGAGGCGCGCACCCACACTCTAAATGTTTTTGTACAAATTTTGTACGAGACATCACAGTTTTTTTGTGCACACGAACTTATTTCGTACAAATTTGTACGAAATTTTGCACAAAAAGGGGAAATTTGAGCAGTTTTTCGCACAAAAATTGTACTGAAAGTTCTTGTGCACAAAAGAAAACTGTGATGTCTCGTACAAAATTGTACATAACATTCAGTGTGCAGCACGCCGTTTCGGACGCCTCCCAGACTGGCGCTGCCTGGCGCCCCGTCAGTCCGGCGAGGACGGCCGCGTCCGAACGGCGTTGCATCACGGACAGCCGAGCGCTTCAGTATGTCTCTCTCGCAACTTTATGGAGAACCCCATGAGTGCGACAGAGACGGAGCGACGAACCGACTCTTCTGTCCGGGGAGTGATTCCTCCCGCCGGGTCAGGGCGTCCGCGCCTGGCCCATAAATCTCCACGGAGGCTGCTTCCGAGCATCGCGCTGTCTCTCTCGCACTCACGGGGCGTCCCGTAGGGGTGCGAGAGAGACAGAGCCACGAGGCGCCGTTCGGAATCGGCCCGCTGAAGCCTCGGCTGAAGCGGGCGTTGTTTTCACTCCGGGCCGCAATTTGCGCCGTGCCGCTTCTATTATTTACAGTGCGGGCCCCGCACCCCAGTGGCCTACAGTGGCGCGGTGCGGCCGGCCGGCCCATTAACGCCGTGCGGTATCGGCCGCACAATGCACTCGTGACTGTGAATAATCCGGAAGGTGTGTGTGTGCACTGTGTGCACGCACACGCGCTATACGCACGACGCGAACCGTGAACGCGCCGAGCAGTATCCGTTGCCGGTCGCCTTTTATTTCGGAGCGTCCGTTAGGCCGCCGCGGCGTGACACTCCGGCCTGGAGCCTCCAGCCGCTCCTCAGTGGGCCAGAAGACCGGTGGAGGCGGTCAAAACTCAAGACGCGTTTTGAGCTCCAGAGTCACTAAACAGAAGCCGAACCGAACGTGTGACCCCACCAGTGGATTGCTCTCCGAACGAGGAGTCCATACGTGGGGTCACACGTTCGGTTTGGCTCCTGTTTAGCGACTCTGGTGCTCAAAACGCGTCTGGAGTTTTGACCGCCTCCACCGGTCTTCTGGCCCACTGTGCTGGGCCTGCACTGCACAGCGCCATGTGTGGCCGTGAGTCCCACGCGGCGTGGGTGCGAGACTCCAGGGCCAATGGCCACTCAGCCGACTGATTCCGAGAGTCGTTTTCGTCGCTCTGTCTCTCCCGCCTCTATACGGGAAGTCCCATGAGTGCGAGAGAGACGAAGACCAACTCTCGGAGTCAGTCCACTGGCGCGGTTTTGGCGCGTGTGATTGTCACTGCACTGCATCGCCTCGACGACGTGCACTCGACTAATGATGATGGACGCTCTGTGACAATCTGACAATCGCATTCCCCGCATGGCCGCGCATAGCGACGCGTCGCGACGCGTCCCGCACGCGGGACAATGCGTTCTCGCCTCGCGCCGGCACCGGCGGCTTTTACTCTTGACGCGTTTTTAAGCGTTCGTGTGACCCCTTCAATTGATTGCTCTCCAAACGAGGAACCCATTGGTGGGGTTACACGTCCAGTTCGAGGCCTGTTTAGCCACTCTCGAGCAGCTCAAAACCCTCCCGGGTCTTCTGGCACACTGCGCGTCGCGTAGTTCGGTCGCTGCACCGACCCGTGTCCCGATGGTCGGAGCGGATTCGGGAGCACGGCCGCCGACGCCGCGCCAACATGCCATCAACGCCCAGGTGGCCGAGCCAGCAGCCGGGCCCGCTGCAGTATGACCCAGTGCCTTATATATCGGCAGGGACCCTGGACTGGCTGGCCGGCTGGGCTGTTGGTCCGCGTGGGACGCCCCGCCCCGCCCCGCCCCGCCCCGCCCCGCCCCGCCCCGCCCCGCCACTCCCCGCCACACCCCGCCACGCCCCGCCCCGCCCCGCCCCGCCCCGCCACTCCCCGCCACGCCCCGCCACGCCGCGCAGACGGCCAGAGGATAGGGGCATCGAGCCTGCACTCATAAAGATGTCCTGCACAAGCGGGCGCAGGGATTCCGCCCGGCCTGCCGCCTGTTGGGTAGGCAGTCCCGCCACGCACGCCTGTGCGGCGGGCTGGCCAATGTTTTCAGAGTGAGGATGTAGTGTTTCTGATCGTGCACTCTGCTCCTGCAGGGCTACCTGACGGTGTGGCGCTGCCGGCCGGACTGCGCGCTGGGCGCGGCGCAGCTGGACGCGCTGTTCGGCAACATCCAGGACGTGTACCACTTCAACGCGCAGTTCCTGCGGCAGCTGGAGCAGTGCGACCTGGACCCCGTGCAGGTGGCGCGCTGCTTCGTGCGCAACAACGCCGGCTTCTCCGTCTACACCGAGTACTGCACCAACTACCCCAGGTACGGACCCAGGAGGGGGAGGGGAAGCCACTCGTGTATGGGCAGTCGCCGCAGCGACACGCCGCACAGTGGGCCAGAAGAACGGTGGAGGCTGTCAAAATCCCGGACGCGTTTTGAGCTCCAGAGTCGCTAAATGGGACTCGAACGGAACGTGTGACCCCACCAATGGATTGCTCTCCGAACGAGGAATCCATTGATGGGGTCACACGCTCGGTCCAAGGCCTGTTTAGCGACTCTGGAGCTCAAAACGCGTCGAGAGTTTTGGCCGCCTCCACCGGTCTTCTGGCCCACTGTGCGCCGCGGGGCGTACGCGGCCGGTACGCTGGCGGTACGCTCGCGGCACACTGCAGACTGAGAGTCGTTTTCGTCGCTACGTCCCTCTCGCACTCACGGGGCGTCCCCTTAGGTGCGAGAGAGGCAGAACGACGAAATCGACTCTCGGAATCAGTCTGCTGGCGGCACGCGGGGCGGTGGTCCGACCAGTCCGACGTGGTCGCCTTTGTGAGGCCGTATGACCGAATGGAACACAGCGGCCTCTGTGGACGCTCGCTGCCCCGCGCTGCCCCCATTCAATGTAATGAGGGGACACACTGTAGGGTGCGTCCGACTACACTACAAGCTTCTCGCAGTGCAGTTGGCAGCAGCGTGTACGAAGAAATTTGTGCAATCACAACTCCGAACTAAATTTGTTTCTACTACGATTTGGATTCTCTTTGTAAGGTAAAAACTGCTTTTGTGTTTTCACAAAATTCTTTGTATCACATTTTCGACGTTTGCGTCGCTGTCTCGACGGAAAGGGCTCTCGGAGTCAGTCTGCTGGTGCTCTCCTCCACCAGTGCAGACAAAGCCCGGGGCTTGGGCCGCCATCTGCAGCGGGCACTGGACTGTGCGGCACCGGAGTGGACAGAGACCCAGGCCATGGACCCAGGCCATGGACCCAGGCCATGGACCCAGGCCATGGACCCAGGCCATGGACCCAGGCCATGGACCCAGGCCATGGACCCAGGCCATGGACCCGGGGCAGGAGCCGACACGCGATCTCTGGGCATGAAATCAGAGCCTGGGGCACTACTTGCGGGGGGGGGGGGGGGGGCGTTGCGCTAACAGTGTGACCAACTTGGCTAAGACTGCACGACGCACGGTGACAACCGGGGTGGAAACCTTTGGGCCCGTTCAGGTTTCAAGGTTTCGAGGCGGTTTTGGTGTTTGAGGCCCTGAGAGCAGGACCTTCCAACTTCCTAACGTGACGTAAGCTGAAGTACTTAGCGACATGATGTCTCCTACGATATTGTACACAAGGTGTAATGTGTGCGCACTGAGAAAATTTGAGTCATCACTTGATGACAATTTCAAGGCTAATTTTCCTTACAACGATGTCTTCAAAATAATTGATGACATAGTTGTCACGCCCATGCAATAAGTATAGGAGCTTTGATGAAAGTATCATCATAATTTGTGACGAAAATATCATCCACGTTTTTGTCATAAAGTGACAACAAATTTTCACTGTGCGTAAGGAACATTTATCATAAGTTGTTGACAGATTTCCCCGTAACTTTCTGCGACAGTGTACTGAAGTAAGGAATTGTTTCGACAGATGAGTGCTTGTGGTCCCGCAGGACGGTGGGCGTGCTGACGGAGCTGATGCGCCGCGAGGGCACGGTGCGGCTGTTCCGCGAGCGGCAGGCGGCGCTGCAGCACACGCTGCCGCTGGGGTCGTACCTGCTCAAGCCCGTGCAGCGCATCCTCAAGTACCACCTGCTGCTGCAGAACATCGTGAAGCACTCGTCGTGCGACCGGCAGGGCCGCGACGGCTACGGCGACATCGTGGACGCGCTGTCCACCATGACGGCCATCGCGCACCACATCAACGACATGAAGCGCCGCCACGAGCACGCCGTGCGCGTGCAGGAGATCCAGAGCCTGCTCTACGGCTGGGAGGTGAGGACAGGCAAAGGCACTGCCACACAGTAGGCCGGAAGGACCAGTGGAGGCGACCAAAATTCGAGACGCGTTTTGAGCTCCAGAGTCGCTAAAATGAACTCGAACCGAGCTTGTGACCCGACCGATGGATATTGCTCTCTGGACGAGGAGTCCATTGGTGGGGTCACACGTTCGGTTCGAGTCCCAGTTAGCGACTGTGGAGCTCAAAACGCGTCTCGAGTTAAGGTCTCCTCCACCGGTCTTCTGGCCCACTGTGGGGCTGTCTGCCGCATCAGACCCGAGGGCGTGGTTCGAGGAGGCAGCCACCTTACACTCTGGGAGTGTACAAACAAGTACACTAGTTCGACAAGTACACTGTGGGGCTGTCTGCCGCATCAAGCCCGAGGGCGTGGTTCAAGGAGGCAGCCACACTACACTCTAGGAGTGTACTAACAAACACACGAGATCGACAAGTACACTCCTATGTACTTGTACACTCCTATAGGAGTGTACTTGTCGATCTATAGGAGCTAAAATTAAAAGTCCATTATATTTTTCAGCACATGAGAATGAACGAATGTAATTATAATTTAATGACAAATATTAAATGAAAATGCAAGTGGCCCAGTGGCCATGGTCAGCATGGTGATTGTTTATGGTTCTGACCGCGCGCCGCTTGGCGCTGCTTCGCAGGGCGAGGACCTGACCACGTTCGGCGAGCTGTGCGCCGAGGGCACGTTCAGGATGGCTGGCGCCAAGGCCCTGCGCCACGTGTTCCTGTTCGACAAGATGCTGCTCATCACCAAGAAGAAGGAGGAGGCCATCCTGGGCTTCAAGGCGCACATCATGGTTGGTCCGAATCGGAATTGTGCTGCACTGGCAAAACAAAGGCATAATAACAGGAAAAGTAGCGATATACATCGGCAACTTTGGCCCGTCCCGTACATTAACAAATGTTTGAATTTCGCCTTTGTTTAGCCCTGACGGGTTTGAACCTGAGTCTGGGGTCAAAATGGATGTTACTTCCGTCATCAGCGCCCTCAAAAACATAAGAAACAATGCAAAAACTCGAATAAAAAGAATGTTCAAAATATACCCCACTGGGATTTGAACCCGGGTCCAAACTTCTTCGATTCGCTTGAAACTGGCACCATTGGTTTTGTCTCGTCGCCCCGATTCCAAAAATACCCCTACATGCCCTGTTAGCTGTATCCGTTGCCGAAATCCTCCTCGACCCCATGTAGACCATGATGCACCTGCAGCAGCGCCCCCGGGGCTCGGATCGGATTTGCTGCCACCGGGCGGTTCTTAGGGTCACCCAAGGAGGCTGCATACCAAATTTGGTCAAGATCGGACCCCGGGAAGTCCTCGGACGGACGGACGAACGAACGAACGGACGCACAGCATGCATCATACTATATGCCCGTCCCTCCGTCATTTTTTTACAAAAAATAAACGGGACGGGCCAAAAACTACGACCTCATGGCATCACAGGGAAATAAAATGGTTCACACAGTTCCACAGAAGACCGGCGCAAGCGGCCAAAACTCTAGACGCGTTTTGAGCTCCAGAGTCGCTAGGACTTGAACCGAACGTGTGACCCCACCAATGGATTCCTCGTTTGGAGATCATGCAATCCATTGGTGGGGTCACACGTTCGGTTCGAGTCCCATTCAGCGACTCTGGAGCTCAAAAACCGTGTGGAATTTTGACCGCCGCCACCGGTCTTCTGGCCCACTGTGCGTTCCAGGGGTGTCCTGAAAGGGCGTAGTTTTTATGCCTCTGCTTCACCAGTGGAACCACCTTGACCCGGCGTGTCTCTAACCTTGCTTGTGCTGCAGTGCTCGAACCTGATGCTGATCGAGAGCGTCCCCGGGGAGCCGCTGAGCTTCCACGTGATCCCGTTCGACAATCCGCGCATGCAGTACACCCTGCAGGTAAGGTTACGTAGAGAGTCGTTGTCGTCGCTCCGTCTCTCTCGCGCCTGCACGGGACGCCCCATGAGTGCACTTGTCCACTTGTACGCACTTCCCGCCCGGACTGTAACGGCAGTCCGAAAGGCAGTGCACAGTGGGCCAGAAGACCGGTGGAGGCGGCCAAAACTCCAGACGCGTTTTGAGCTCCAGAGTCGCCAAGCAGGACTCAAACCGAACGTGTGACCCCACCAATGGATTGCTCTCCGAACGAGGAATCTATTGGTGGAGTCACACGTTCGGTTCGAGTCCCATTTAGCGACTCTGGAGCTCAAAACGCGTCTGGAGTTTTGGCCGCCTCCACTTGTCTTCTGGCCCACTGTGCAGTGTGCCACGCCGCCCGTGGCAGCGCCCCGGCAATGCAGTGCCCCGCTTGCCTACCCAATAAAGCGTTTATTGCGGTTATGATATCACTGGCCGGGCCGTACTCACTATAAACGAATCGCGGCGGAACCGGGAAAAAGAGGAAACGGCGCCATACCTGCACACGGATCCCGAGAGTCGTTTTCGTCGCTCTGTCTCTCTCGCGCCTGTACGGGACGCTCCGTGTGTGCGAGTGAGACAGAGCGACGCAAACGACTCTCGGGATCGGTCTGCCGTTGCATGGTCAGCCCACCGCATTTCGTCCCGTTTCCCCCTTGGCTGCCTTCCGGTATTTTCCCGTGCCAACAGTCCGCCCCCCTGGTCCTGGTCCTAGTATATTGAAAGCCATTTTGTCACTCTGTTTCCGAGCGAGTGCGCATCGCACCGCGCCGCGCGGAGCGGGCCACAGTGGGCCAGAAGGCAAGTGGAGGCGGCCAAAACTCTAGACGCGTTTTGAGCTCCAGAGTCGCGAAATGGGACTCGAACCGAACGTGTGACCCCACCAATGGATTCCTCGGTCGGAGAGCAATCCAGTGGTGGGGTCACACGTTCGGTACGAGTCCCATTTAGCGACTCTGCAGCTCAAAACGCGTCTAGAGTTTTGGCCGCCTCCACCGGTCTTCTGGCCCACTGTGCGGGCAGCCCGGCCGGGGAGCCAGGAAGCGACTGGGCGTTGCCACGGCGCAGCCGGGCCGCCACGCCCCGCACTGGCCGACCACATTACGGACCGGAATGAAATCAATGACGAGCGTGTTCCTGTACGATTCCGCGTAGTCGTAAAAAATTCGTGTAACACACACACACGCGCGCGCACACGCACACACAGTCAAAAGCCTGTTCTCGCGCGGGTACAAGGTTCCGACCTCAAAGCGATGCGGTAGAGAGCAGAGGAGAGAAATGTTCAGCGGACCGTTTCCGACCAGCGCTTCGTCGCTCCGTCTCTCTTGCTACCCTACGGGAGAGGTGCGCCTGGAGTGCGAGAGGGACAGAGACGAAAGTACAGTTTGGATGCCTGCAAGAAGGGTCTCCTCAGAGCACTGCCGCCGCACTGTAAATGTTGTACAGTGAAGATTCTCCACATTATGGCGAAAATGTTCCATATGGTGGTGCAGCTGTCTTCATAACATTACATGGCGAACTCACTGTGCCTTTTAGATATTTTGATGAATTTCGTTGGTAATATGGAGAAAATCTCCACCATAATACGTTGGTGCAGCCTTTCACCGTTAGACATTTACAGTGCGGCCTAACCTCTGGATCCGCCTCTGCCGCTTACCGGCATATCGCCTCAGAGGACGACGGACGCAACGATGCTTTTGCTTGCAGGCGCGGACGCTGGAGCAGAAGCGGGAGTGGAGCATGCAGCTCAAGAGGGTCATCCTGGAGAACTACCACGCCGTCATTCCGTCGCACGCGCGCCAACTAGTCATGGAGCTGGGGCAGAACCGGGCGGACGGTAAGTTCGTTACACTGTAAGAAATAATGAAGGCACGAAGGGGGGGGGGACAGCTTCCCACATTCATTGTACAAAATTTGACCACATTCCACATTCAGGTGGCCAAAACGCCTGTAAGTAGGCAAAATGTGTGGCAAAAACGCCAGAAATCTTGCACATTTACATCGTTGTACACAAAATTTTACAGTGGGTCAGCCCTCAGGCGTTAGCAAAAGTATCCCTTGGGATGAAAATTGCCGAAGGTTCCTTCATAAAGTCACGACGAAGATTCATCGTAGCTTAACAAGAAATCTTTAAAAAGTTGAGAAGAATCTTTGTGATTTTACAAAGAATCTTCGTGAATTCACGAAAATTCCTTCGGCAACATTTTTTACGGAGGTACCTTCGTACTCATCGGAGAATTGTTTCAACGGTGTAGCCAGAGGAACTCTATCCCATAAACATCCGAAAAAACTTAAGTGCAAAATGTGTCTTTTAATTCCCACTGAGGGTTTTTTTTCCTGTCCTGCGAGTGCGGTAGTCAACTCGAAAAGTCATTTACACGCTGTTATTTGCCGCAGATGCCGCCCTGGCCGACAAAGTGACCCCCAGGAGGCAGCACTCGGCCCCGGAGTACCTGGAGAGGCGAAAGCAGGAGAGAGAGAGGCGCAAGTCTGAGACGGGGCTGCGATATCGCCTACGCCGCAACCGCAAGTCCGATGCAGACACCATCGCCGAGGTTGGTGCTCCTTGCCTGGCTGCCCTGGCCGAGGCCCTGCACAGTGGGCCAGAAGACCGGTGGAGGCGGCCAAAACCCTAGACGCGTTTTGAGCTCCAGAGTCGCTAAATGGGACTCGAACCGAACGTGTGACCCCACCAATGGATTGCTCTCCGAACGAGGAATCCATTGGTGGGGTCACACGCTCGGTTTGAGTCCTGTTTAGCGACTCTGGAGCTCAAAACGCGTCTAGAGTATTGGCCGCCTCCACCGGTCTTCTGGCCCACTGTGCCCTGGCCGCTCTTGCCAGTGGCTAGCCGCACTTCATTATTAGTATGGTTTCGGCGGGCCGCGTCGCCGCGTTTGACCCGCAGCAGAAGCGGAACGGCGAGAATACTGGAGACTCGTGGCTGCAGACTGATTCCGAGAGTCGTTTTCGTCGCCCTGCCTCTCTCGCACCTGTACGGGACGTCCCATGAGTGCAAGAGAGACAGAGCCAGGATAACGAATCTCGGAATCGGTCCTCTGAGCCATGCTGAGCTAGACGCTGAGTGCCGTTTTTCTCTTTTTGCAGTCTGCTACGAGGCGGGGACGGCGAGGCTCGAGCAGCAGCCGAGAGGGAGAGAGAGAAGACTCACTACTAAGCTTAGCGGACCGCACGAGGGTGAGTAGCGAGCCGGTGGTCTCCGATTGACGAGTCGACAAAATTCATATTCTGAACTAATATGACGTCACATCCGTTGAATTTGAGAGTTGGACTGATGCGTTGGTTGGTCTGCAGGATCGCTTCGCCAGCTGGCGGAGGAAGTCGGAGCCGGTGGGCTACCTGGGCGCCTCCAACGGCGTCGCCAACGCCAACAAACGGCCAATCACCATTGATCTCCAGGACCGCGTCGAAGACGTCCCCACGCCGACGCCCAGCCCGCCGCCCGCTGCCACCAGCACCACCACAGCCACCGCGAGGCTGGCTGAAGACGACCTAGACGACGACCAAGTTCCTACCGCCACCCAAACGCCCGCCGCCTCCCAAGGATCGCGACCGGCTTCGCCGCTGACGGCGTCCACCCCACTGTCGTCGCCGACGTCGACACCGTCCTCGCAGCCGTCCGAGACGATCGAGCAGATCGTGAGCCAGCTGCTGATGCAGAACCGCGAGTTCCAGCGGATCCTCAAGAAGCAGCAGCGGCAGATCAGCCTCCGGCACCGGATCACCGCGCCGAGCTCCAAGGCCGGGGAGACGACCGACGACGACGCCGAGGACGACGACCTGGGCGAGGAGGAGGAGGAGTCCATCTACGAGACGCTGTCGGCGCTGGCCACGGTGCACCACAGCGCGCACCGCCGCAGCCACCTGGTGGAGTGCTCCAACGACGAGGACGACTACGTGACGCTGGTGTGCCGCGCCGACCCCAAGGACGAGGACGACGACGACGACCAGTCCCGGCCGTGCAGCCGCCTGGACAACAAGCAGGACGACGAGGACTCGCCGCCGCCCACCGCGCCGCCCCGGCCCAGGGCCAGGTTAAAGCGCGTCGCCGCCAAGGACGGCGCGCTGGGGGCGGCCCCGCGGGGGGTGGCCCCGCTGGGGGTGACGCGGCAGGACAGCCTGCAGAGCCTGTGGGAGCGGCTGCGCCGGTCGCAGCGCCTGGGCGGCAAGGCCACGTCCTTCGGCTCCTTCGGCACCAGTGTGCGCCGCGCCGCGTCCTTCACGTCGCAGCAGAGCCAGCACAGCCAGCACAGCCAGCACAGCCAGCAGAGCAACTCGCACTTCTACGTGGACACGCCGTGCGCCGTGAGCGGCGGCCTCAGCGGCGGCCTCAGCGGCGGCTCGTGCCAGCCCATCACGCCCGCCGTGTGGCTCAAGCAGCAGGGCCCGCACCTGGAGACGGCCATGGCCCTGGCCAGCAGCCACAAGGCGGGCTCGCTGCCGCGCAGCTTCCAGGTGGGGCCCGAGGGCGAGGCGCTGCCGGGCCGCAGCAAGGAGACGCTGCGCGCCTGCATCCTGCGCAGCGGCCGCTCGTGCCCCGACCGGCCCTTCACCATCGCGTCGGACAAGCCCTCCAGGCTGCCGTCGCGGCTCAGCATGGAGGACATGGAGCGCTTCGAGCGGCACCACGGCCTGCACGGCCAGGGCGGCGACACCACGGAGGACGACAGCATGACGGAGTACACGGCCACCCCCAACGCCAGCCTGCACGAGCTCAACGTGCACCCCGAGTACAAGATCTACCGGCCCACGCTGCCCGGCATCTCGCTACGCCACGTGCTGGCCAAGCTGGCCGCGGGGCTGAGGGGCGGCGCCACCCCCACGCCGGCGGGCTCCGAGACGGCCTCCATCGACTGGGAGGGCGAGCGCGTGCTGCAGCGAGAGCGGCGCCGCGTGGCCGCCGTCGTGGTCAAGCAGTACAGCAAGACGCTTCGCCGGCGCATCCGGAACCTCATCGGCGACGAACAGGACGGCGCCAGTGTCGCGGCGGCCACGTCGGCGACGTCGGTTGGGACCGCCGCCGCGGGCACGGCCTCCACGACGACCACCACGTACGCGCAGGGCAGCTCGGGGCTGGGGGCGCGCATCGCGTCGCTGACGGCCGAGTCGGACTACGCCAACCCCCGGCTGCTGTTCCAGTTCCAGCACGTGCGCCCCTCCAAGAAGGTCGCCGCGCTGCTGGGCGTCCGCCCCGACTCGGTGCTCTCCGTGGCGTCGGCCGCGTCCGCCGCGTCGTCGTCCAACTTGACTGCGTCCACGTCGGCGTCCTCCAGCGACGGCGACAAGACGTCGGGCTTCGGTGGCAGCGTGGACGCGGCGCCGCACAGGCCCATGGGGCTGACGGGGCTGGGGCTGCCGGTGCCTGCCGCTCCGCTCGCCGTGCCGGACGCCCTCGCCGACGCCCAGGACGCCGCAGAGCCGCCCGCGACCACGTCGTCGTCCTCGGCGGAGGACGCCGCCGGCAGCGACTGCTCCGCGGACAGCTTCTACGAGCGCTCGTTCGAGGCCATGGAGTCTGTGCTGGAGTCCACGGACGTGTTCCGGGACAGCGCCGTGTTCACGGACCACGACGACTGCTCCCTGGAGGAGAGCGACGACTCGTCGGCGCCGCCTCGCTACCCGCCGCCACCGCCTCCGCAGCAGGAGCAGTCCAGTGACTCGCCCTCGGCCTCGCTCGCGGGAGAAACGGCCACCGCCCTGGCCGCGACCCCGACCTCCGCAACGAACTCGGTGCGGCAGCAGCCGCGAAGCAAAGTTCCTCCGCCCGTGCCATCCAAACCCAAGAAGCACTTGAGGCCCTCTCTCGGCACGGGAGACCTGGCCAGCATCCCCATGACCTCGCTAGTTAGCCGCCTCTCTGAGGTGGCCTTGCCTAGTCCAGTTCTCCCCGCCGCCTCGACCCCGGCCGCACCCTTGGCCGTCCCGGACCAGGATGACCAGTGCGACAGCGGCTCGCAGTACTCGGCGGCCTCCACAGTGATGGAGGGGGCCTCCTGCCCCGGGGCTTGCCCTGGCGGCGCGTGCCCCTCGGGCCCCACCTCCAAGGGCTGGGTCAAGCACGTCATCGGCCGCCTCCAGGGCGAGGCGCACCTCGCCCACTCATGAGACAACCACTACACTGGTCGTGTGTGAGATGTTTTCCTTGACTTGACATTATTTATTTGCACCTGGCCAGACCCATATTGTGTGTCAGCGGATTTCAGGTCTGGGTCGCAACGTGCCACAACTGTCCAGTGTCTGTTCAGTGCATATTCATACCAATTTACTGTGCACTTACAATGTGTCGAGAGGATAGTTATGGTAGTTATACCTTGTGCTGTTCGTGAAAACGCCTTTTCAGACCTGTTATATTATTACTGAATTCAAAGCGATTGAGAGGGTTTCTACTCCCACTAAACTTCTAGTCACTGCTTTTTGTGATGGCCCACAGCAAAATTTGTCAAAATGAAGCATATTTTTGGGCTGCAAAGGAACAAACTTCTCAATTTAAGTATTCATTTCACCACTATGCACCCCAAACAGCAGAATAATTTCTTTTTTAATTTGAGGAACCTTACAGCAAACTAAACTAACATCTCGTAGAACTGCCGCTGTACCTTATGCAGAACACGATGGAGTTAATGAATGTAAATGCGGCTCTTCATTTTTCTTCTGCAGACGGAGTCCACCATAGTCAGACTGAATATTCTTAAAACTCAGTGCTCAGTAACCCTGTTTTGGTTCTTCTTTAAAATTCTCCGATACATTCCCTGTTAATGTGTCAACCAATGTAGATTTTTAAGTTTTAAATTTTGAGAGCCCTAAATGCCGTAATGGCCTGAATTTAAGTAAGCTGCTGTGTCGTCATTTTCTTTTCAACAATTGAGCTTCAAAATTGGCAAGTTCAATATCTCATTTGTAGGGTGTTTTTTTTTTCTATACATACATGGGGGTTTTAATAAGGGCAGAGAGAGGGCTTAAATGCAGATCATTACAGTGTATATTTAATTCACTATGAAATTTGATTCTTTCCTTACATGAATTGCTTGACTTACCATCATACATGTATTTATTTTCCAAATGTGTTCTTATGATTTATTGTGTTGGTTAATTATTATACCAGTTGTTATGATTTAGATGTCTATATTTGAGGTAGTTTTATGGACCAAATTTAAACAGAAATATTTTGTGATACAACATATGCCATGTTGCTGCTGATGTTTTAGCTCATTGTTAGAAGGTACATACTACAAGTCTTAATTTAACACTTAAATATTGACACAAGTCAAATTTGTTTCTGTAGTTCATAGCTTTAATTTAACTTTTAAATGTTATGTTCTGTTTCGATTGTTTGTTATTATTATGATAATTCTGGCCATTAAAATGTTGCCATGTTTCCATTTTGGAGTCGTTTTTCTTTGAATTGCTATCGGTTGTTAACATGATGGTGCTTTCGATCTCAATGGAAGAAAAAAATTAGAAAGAATTATGTCACATATGTCTGCAAGAGCAGTTCCAGCTATCCCTGAGAGTCCTTCCCTGAGCAGTGCAGTACAGAACTAACTTTTCTGTTGTGAAATTGATAACTTAGCCTTGTGGTGTTATGTGTATCAAATGGTTTGCATGTACCAAATTTTAATTTAAGATGTGTTTACATTTTTTTTTACATACCATTGCATGGCTTCTTTCACAATTATCTCTGACTGTAGTGGTGTAGGGACTTGAGAGGTGCTCCTAACATAATTCACTTTAGCTAATTCTTCCATTTTTGTATGAAATACATTTATATGTTATACTTTGAGTTTCATTGCAATTCTTTCCTTTCCACAACATTCATTTATCTGTCAGGCTGTTGAACTTGTATGTTACCGGTTGAAATGTACGCCAGTTTTTTGCATTGACCCTGAAATCTACATTGGAGTTCATAACTGATTTGGTGTACATACTTTTCTGTTGTATCTGAGGGTAGAACACTTTGGGTTCCCGGGGCCCTCGCATAATTCGAAAGTAGTCAATGTATTTTTCTGGCTTGTGTGGAGGAAATTTGCTGAAGCAGCCATCATGGTTGTTTCCTTGCTGAAACAGCAAATAAATAATATGGAGAATGCTGACAGAGTTATTAACTTATGAGGCACAAACATGTTTCTACCAACATGCAATAGTGTGATGCTCACCATTTTGGGTTGAGAAGGTGGCACCCACACTGCCCCTTTATAAGACGGCTTGCTTTCAGATCGATGCACATAAGTAGATGCAGCATTGATAACATGCCAGGGGTTCATATCAAAGCAGGGCTTTGGGTACATTGTTGAGATGAGGGGACCATCAAGCATTAATTTTCTACTGGCAGCTGCCATACCAAACCGTGACTGGTACGGTTCTGACCTGTGTTGCCGATTTTTTTTTTTTTTTAATAAAAATACAATTTTAGAATAGATGGATGATTTTTTTTTTCTGTTATAGTACAAACTCACATATGCTTGGGAAATCTACTGAAAGTGATGTCTACATATCCGTAAGTGCCTTTTTTCCCAGGATTTGTCTTAACATTGGGTGGCTCAGATTTGTGGGGTGGGCGAGCCTTTTCTTGTCGACTCATGGCTTTATAATGTAACATAACACTTCATTAATGAAACAAGACATAACTTAGATACCTCAAAAGTGAGACCATATACCTTTTATTCGACCAGCAAAGGTTCCATAGAAGTCCCCTGGTGTGCTATGCTTTTTTCCACATGCACCAGCGATGAAAGGGGCACTTGAAACGTTCCTCTTGGATGACGCCATCCTTCAAAGTGAAGCATTATGAGGTAAATTAAAAATATTTATATGTGAAGTGCACGAGAATGCATTATCTAAGTTAGAAGAGGACTTACGAGGCAAGGTAGTTTTCCCTCACTGCACTTGAATATGCTTCGCTTTCAAATATTCTTTTGTAAGGTCCTTTATCAAAGTAGCAGTCTTGTAGTCCTACTTTTGTCTTGCTGCCTCCGGGTATCATCTGTCGTCCTTTTGTTCCTCCTTTACGGAATTCATCTAAAACAGAGACTTTTTTTGCAGCAAGCATTGTAACAAAAAACTTAAGTATCAATTATAATAAAGCAACTTACAACCGTGTGGTGACACATAGGGCACTCCATGCAACCAGCCAGTCTCAGCAAATATTCCAATTCTCTCCATGTCCCGTTTTCCATAATGCTCCCCAATATTTGTCACCTTTGATGCTTTAGGCATTTTGATAAATTTCTAGCCTGCTTGGTTGATCAATCTTAAAAAAAAATTGTTATTTTTCTCCTTTTAATTAAAAAGACTTGAGCGCAGGAGTTGTCAGATGTCTGCATGTAGTTATCCACGTGATATTATGAAACTCTTGATTATTTTACTTTAAGAAACTACGAATCGTGAAACTAACAGCAGCAATTCAAAATACATTTTTTTCCTATTTTTCTTATTTTTTAATTTTTTTTGCTTTTGCTTTGAACATTTGGTGCTGTCAATCAAACTATGGCGCCCTGTGTTTTGTTTTTTCAACAACGGGTGGAACGCACTATGAAAACAAAAGCGGAACACATCATGCCTTCAGCACAAATTTGTCATAATGTCCCTGTTCGGACGACAAAGGTACTTGAGGTGACAGACATGCCGGGGACGGCGATTTCGTTTTAAATTGCTTTTATCATAGTGAAGCAATAGTTAATCTTTTGAACCGCAACGTAAGTTTCTCTCCATAGTACAGCTGTGCTATTTTCGTAAATCTCATGGGCTGAGCATCTTCACGCTTGCTCCGACTTGACAGGTCGATGCTCTGCCTGCCTGGCACTGTTTGTTTACGTGGAGTTTGCAGACTCTATCGCAGTTTAAAGTATACAGAGCTTAATTCGGGGCCTCCCCTTCGTACGACATTGAGTGTGTCTCTCTTCTGTAGTTGTGGCGTTTCTTCATCTTGAGGTTACGGGCCGTGTCTGGGCCGGTTTGAAAACTGTGAATGAGGGTTATATGACCCTGGGATAGTGGTCACCCAATGTAATTTCCTCTATCATTAACAAGGTTTTTCTTTTCTCAATGATTCTGAACCGGTAGAGCTCCTTAAATTCCATAGTGGTCTCTAACAAGGATCCATTGACTGTCCCGTTGTCTGATCATGCCTCATTTGTGCCATCTTCATCAGTCTAAGAATTTCTGAGTTGTTTGTATCATTTTACTTTCTGCATTGACAGCTCAATTCTTTTCCTCCCGCTGTCAAAATCACTCCTAAAATGAAGTCTCATCCAGGGCAATCGCCACCAGGTATGTGTCATAGATTTAATTCTGTCAGTATTGTTTTATCGTCCATTGATAACAAAACTATTCATTTGAGTTATGACTAATGTTGTTTGAAATTTTTCTTGCAGTACTTAAATATGTCAGCCTCGTGACTTTGACACTTCAGAACGCGATACTCGGTTTGAGTATGCGGTATGCACGCACAAGACCAGGAGATATGTTTTTGTCCTCCTCAGGTACTCGTTTTGATAGATAAAGAGTTTAATTTTTTGGCATGTCTTTGCTGCTCATAAGTAAGACATTTTATATTCATCTTGTTTTACAGCTGTTCTGATGTCAGAATTCACAAAGTTGATCACATGCCTGGCTATTGTTTGGAAAGAAGAGGGCAGTATTCAGAGAGCTGTGTCAGCAGTGCACAATACTGTCATCAAGCAGCCCATAGACACACTCAAAGTGTGTGTTCCATCATTATTGTACATCGTACAGAACAACCTCCTGTATGTGTCTGCATCACATTTGGATGCTGCAACTTATCAGGTATTGATGATACTTCATTCCAAAATTACTGTGGCTTACCATTGTGTTCCAGTGGGATGGGACTTAAATGTTGTTTCTCTTCATCATCTTTTAGGTCACTTATCAATTGAAAATTCTAACTACAGCTATGTTTGCTGTCACTATGTTGAGACGTTCTCTGTTAAAAACCCAGTGGATATCTCTCGTAACATTGGTTTCTGGGGTGGTCCTGGTTCAACTCGCAAACACTGCTCCAGCCAAGGTTGTAGTCGGCGGCCCTGAGCAAAACCGAATCATTGGCTTTTCTGCTGCATTATGTGCTTGTCTCCTTTCTGGATTTGCAGGAATTTATTTTGAAAAAATTTTAAAAGGTAATTTTTTTTTTTAAACTGTTGTGTTTTTTAATATTTATTATGTTTTTTTATAACTTGTTGTTTTTCTTCTTGCAGGGTCTGATATTTCAGTGTGGATGCGAAATGTTCAGCTGAGCTTTTTGTCACTTCCATTTGGATTGTGTACTTGTTTATTGTCTGATTGGGAAGTGGTCACATCAAAAGGGCTGTTCTTTGGATATGATGGATTTGTGTGGTATCTTGTAGTATTACAGGCTGGAGGTGGTCTCCTGGTTGCGATGGTTGTGAAGTATGCTGATAATATTCTTAAGGGCTTTGCCACATCTCTTGCTATAATCATATCTTGCATTGCTTCAATTTATCTCTTTGAGTTCAATCTCACTTTCCAATTTGCCCTTGGAGCAGCATTAGTAATAGCATCTATATTTTTGTATGGCTATGTTCCTCCAAATCCCAACCAACAGAGTAAAGTCTAGGCTATGATGCAAGTGGAAAATGCATTTTCACATGCATGATTTTGAACTGACTTGGTAAATAATAAGCTAACCTGTTGTGCCAAATGCTCACAAAAGACAAGACTTTTTAAGATAATGTAATACTGTATGTCATTAGAATTGTGATTAGACCCCCTTCAATGTCTTTAGAATTGTCACTAGACCTCCATCCCAACCTAAACACCACCACTTATCGAAAAATAGTCTGAGTTTATTTACCTATTCACTGATTTCTTGTATTAGATTAAAAATTACATAACTGACTTCACATCTTTTAAGTTTTGGTATTTTAGTTCCTGTTATGCACTAAGGTTGGAGTAGCTTTAATTATCTGGTTGTTTTTTGGTATTTTTATTTGTGTTTTTTATTAGTATTTTTAAAGTAATTAGCTGACTGACAAGTTGAGTGACCAACGTTACACTTTTGACACTGAGCATAAAAAAAGGCAAGATACTATCTGGAATAGTTCCACTTCAGTTTAAAACCTGAGACCCAAGTTATTATAGAGTATTCTACGCATTCAAAATCCTTTCATCATTGATGATGTCTTGTGTGTGGGTGTATATTTAAATGAAAAAAAAATACACAATGAATGATATGTGCCTCAAGATTATGGTAACCACCATTCTAACTATTCATAGTATTGTAAAAAAAAAACATTCACCCTCTGTTTTTTTTTCTCTCATAATCAAGTATTCTTTTTGTCTCATTGGCTTGTCCCTTAGTATAATTGTCCCATTGGTCTTCCATTAAACATACTAGTGCCTAAGTTATAGTAGATGCATGTTGCACAACTTTTTTCTGAGGAAAAAAAAAAATGTATTGAAGACAAGGCACCAAATCTGTCACTCAGTAAAGGAGTAATTTTTTCTGTTGTGGAGCAACTTACTTACAGAGTTTTGAAGTGTTATTGGATTGTGATGCAAATTATGTGCTTCAATTTCTTTTTGTTTTATTGATTGATTTGGATATCGCATTGCCTGTCTGCCACATGGTAATACAGTAGTGTGAATACTGATTTCAGTTTGAACAATGTGAACCTTACATTACTTGTGATTTTAAAAAAAGACCACTTAGAAGTGTTAGGGTGGGAAAACTGTTTTACGGAGGTACTGCCTACAATTTCAGTTATATTTTTCTATCAACATGAGTTCTGTTCATTTTCCCTGTGACATAAACCAAGATTTTATACAGTTTAAAGTGTTGAGCATCATCCAGTAAGGTTTTCTTTTTAAATTTGTTACAAGTGTTACAAACACTTTTAAGTTATTGTTCTTCTATTTCTCTTGTTTAAATTGTAACTACGAGTCTTTTGTTCTTTGAGGAAGCTCCCAAGGGTATAACATGACCATCTTTATCCTCTTCAAAGTTCAAGCCTGTATTGTTTTCTGTTGTGTTTTGTAGACTCTTAAACATGTGCCTTAAAAAAATGACAGGTACGA